CAGAAGATGGTAGAGGACAGGAAGACCTGGAGGAACATTGTCCATGGGGTCGCGATGGGTCGGACATGACTTCGCAATTAACAACAACAGTATTGAAAGCAAATGTTTACACACTTTTATCACACAAAAATATATAGCTTTGGATAATTTTCCTCAATAAATCACTGAATAGGCATATTTTTAACTCATTTTTCTAAAAAAAAAATGGGTTCTCTTTATCTAGTTTTAGGACGTGGAGAAAAGATCACATTATAGGTCATATTTATGAAGAAATATTGAACATTTGAAAGAATTAGACACCACTGTATATAGCTGGATATTATAGATAGAGAAATAATATAAGCATTTTTTTCATTTAGTGCAGTGGTTCTCAACCGTTCTAATGCCGTGACCCCATAATACAGTTCCCCATGTTGTGGTGACCCCCAACCACTTATACATCACTGGGTGCCAGGGGCGTGGCCAAAGAAAAGGGGGAAAAAATGGCGGACAGCCTTGTTTGGTGACCCCCGTGAAATGGTCGTTCGACCCCAAATGGGGTCCCGACCCACAGGTTGAGAACCACTGATTTAGTGTATTACAATTTCTTAAATTAGGCTATAGAAAATGCAGTTTCACAATTGATAAAACAGAGAAATATAAACAGAGAAATAAGATTTTGAAAAACTTTGAATTTAATGAAAACAGATTTGGGAACTTCCCACTGAGAAGTTTATAGCCGCTTTAAGTAGCTGAAATTTTGAAGAAACTATTGAGTTTCTGTAGGTATACCAACTGGAGGGAGAGATACTGTCTTTCTTCAGACACAGGCATACACACAGACAGAGAGAGGCGGAGAGAGGCTGGCTAAGTGTTAGTGTTTTTTTAAATCTGAAATTGATTGTATATGTACATAACAGCTTTCTTTTGCGAATGTGTAGGCACCTAAAAGTAGTTCTTATATGAATAGTATACAGGTCGGCAACCCGTGGCGCCGGAGCCGCATGCGGCTCTTTCAGCCGTCTCCTGCAGCTCCCAGCCACGTGCAGTGCAAAAAAAAAAAAGGACTAAAAAAGTTGAACCAATCAATTCAAACTTCTCACGAAAGAAGTTTGAATTGATTGGTTCAACTTCTTTGGTTTGTGGGATGCTGTTCGCCATGGGCTCGACATAGACGGGAGGGGGGGGGAAGACAGTCCTGTAGCCAGAAGCCGGAGGTCGGAGCGGAACGGCACAGAAGACCTACCAGTTGACGTGGGAAGCTCCAACATTGCCGGTGAGCAAGGCCTGGCGTCTGCGGCCTGGTTCCGCACCCCGACGACCAGCTTGACTGGTTTTCACTGCTCCAGCCCGGGAATGCCAGCGGCATAGAAGGCAGTTTGGCGCCGCTGCCATGGGCGGGATGTCCTTGCAGCGACAACTCGGACCCGGATATTTCCTGCGGCTTGTGGCTTGGGACCGGAGACACTGTTGATGCACAACCCGGACTGTCAACGTTGCCGTGGGACCATCCCATGTGGTGCCAACTAATGCGGCGTGCTTCCAGCGGCGAAAAAGGGGCCTGAGTGGCGGCGGAACAAGACACTGGGCAGCACGAACTGAGCACAGTCTTGATAAGTAACAAGCCAAGGCCCCACATCCCTCCTGCCACCACTTAGTTCGTGCTGCCCATGTCTGCCTGCCTGCCTGCCTGCTTGCAGGCCTCTGTGCTCCTTCCCCGAAGCATGCAATTGCTCAGAGCCCATTCCAAAAGGTGCTGCTTCCCTGGCAGGAGCTGAGTTTGCAAGACTCGCTGACAAGCCAAGAAAACCAAAGGTCTGGAGGGTTCCCTCCTGCTGCGAAGCCGCAGTGCCTGGGCTGACGGGGGAGGGGGTGGGGGGTATTGGGGACCTGAAAAGTCCTCCACGACAGGCTCGGGGCCGGCTGTCTTTCCCTGGCCGCAGGAGAAGGGGAGGCGAGGATCTCTACCCGGGCGGGCGGGCAAGTGAGCAAAACCCCGAAATCTTTTGTGTTCGTTTGCAAAGAAGCAGTGAAAGCTGGTCGTCCCGTTTGCAAAGAAGCAGTAAAAGCTGGTCGTCGGTGTGGAACTGGGCTGCGGACGCCAGGCCTTGATCATCGGCAACACTGGAGCCTCCCACACCAACCAGTAGGTCTTCCATGTCGCTCCGCTGGGACCGCTGGCTTCTGGCTGCGTGGCTGTCTCCCTCCGGAGCTGTCTTTCCCCCCCGGGCCATGCGCCACTGGCGTCTTCTCTTTGCAAACGAACGCAAAAGATTTCAGGGTTTCGCTCGCCCGCCCGCCCACTCAGGTGGAGACCAGAGTTGGCGGCTCTAACGTCCTACTATCGTTAGCTGCAATCCTATCCACCTGTTTTGTCCAACCGATTGCAAGCCAATCGCTGCTTGGTTCTGGATTAATAGCTTGGGGGGGCGCCAAGCCCACTGAACTGTGTGATCCCAATGACCGAGCTGACTTCGCAGGAGCCTCCATCGGATTGGAACTTTCCTGTCCAATTGAGCTCAGTTTAGGCAGGGCCGTTCTTAGTTAGTGGGGCTGACTCTAGTTCTCTGGCAAGGGTGCCACGCTCCAGCCTTTCTCCAAAGCGCCGTCCTCGGAAGGGTAGTCCAAGACACCACTTTCAGCCGGCTCCTTTGGCGTGGCCCCAATTCTGCTCTGGGGAAACGAGGGTGGAGCGGAGCAGCGCTGCCTATCTCAGTCAAGTGGAGAAAGGGCTGTGTAAACACCACCAGATGGCTCTGCAGTTGCCGCTGCCACCGCCAGGGGAAATGAGCAGGCTGTTGCTCCCGCGGTCGCCTTCCCGCCACTATGGAAGATAGCCTGGTCCGCGCCTTTGCGGGCCTTAGCCTCCAGCAGCCCTGCCGTGCCCAAGGCAATGCCCCCCCCGCTCGCTGCTTCAGCAAAGGGGGGAGGGGAGGAGAAGCCAGGACGGCAGAGCCGTCCATACCAGAGCTGGACAGGAGCAGGGCCGGTGCATGTGTTGCCTTAGGCTCCACTCTTCAATCAAGCCCCCTGTTACGTATGTGCGCATGCGCGCGCATGCGCACACGCACAGATTTTGCGGCTCCCAGTTTTTTCTTTTGTGAGGGAAACGTGTCCAAGTGGCTCTTTCACCGTTTTAGGTTGCTGACCCCTGGAATAGTAGGTCAAAAGTGGACCTTATTTATAGTATAGGTTGGCTTTTCCTTTTGTATCATAAGGGCTTCTTCGTTAAAGATAATTGAATGCAGTAAAATACAAATTTAGAATCTTTGGAGATGTGCCATATTATAGAAGCAGTATTCTTCTGATTTCATGTATCAAGCTCTCTTCAAGGGAGGTATTGGTGGTTTCTTCAGGAAAAAAGGATAAGTCAAAGAGGCTCAAAGTAATACTACATTTATGTGTAGCTTTTGCTTATTTTTTACATTGGAATAAAATGCAACTTTTCATAAAATATTGCTTATCACAAGGGAATAACATCCCAAAGCAAACATTAATCTGACTTCAGTGGCCATTGGACAGCCTTATCTGCATGGGTGGTCATGCAGTGGCAAAGCACTGTCATTACAATTCAGTTCAGATTAGAGTTTTTACAAAAGCCCTTAAAGAAGATAAAAACCAAATATATGATATCCAAAGTATATAATTCCTTATTTAATTTGGTTATGAGAATATTATTTTACATTTTATATAATTTTAAAATACAGTGTTCTTATACAGTAAGGTGCCTAATGAAATGAGTGAATCCCAGCTTTTTAGTAGAGATGTTGATTGTATGACTAGTGATCTTTGTTTTATATCTTATGAATCTGATAATTGTTAACATTTTATAGTAATTCATATATTAAAAAGAATTTTATGTAAAACATGGTCATTGCTCTTTAAACATTCTATCTTTTGAAAAAAATGAAACGGGCAGTTTCTAGAATTTCATTACAGAAGTAAATGGAGGAAATTGATAAGAAGTTGGACCAAGATTTGGAGTAATTAACATGAATTAGCAAAACTGGAATTCAAGGAAATTTTTAAAAGGATAATTTGAAGGAGAGGAATCTATAAAAGCAGAGTTGGAATATTTAAAATAGGGGTGCAGTATGGCAGCAAAGTATGATAGACAAAGGAAGCATATAGAACATGGAATATATAAAGTTGTTTCCATCATACTTGTCATGTTCTTCTAATGTGTGATGTTTTCTATTGAGGGAAATATTAGAATATATATTTAGTGGGAGTGGAATTGTATTTTTTATGAAAGAATGCTCTTGCTTTTTGAAATTCCCACCATTCTGTATTTTTTTTATTTTAGGAAATGATTACATCAAACTGCCAGGAAAATTCCTCATATGAAGCAGTTTCGGACTTAATATAGGGAGTTTATAAATTAGCAGTTGTAGATTAAGATATGGATTCAAAGAGACAGTGCCAGATATTTACACTTTCTTATTCTAGCACAAATTTGTGACTTTCTCAGGAACTGCAGGAGATATGAAATACCTATGTGCCTATATCCTAACCTAGGAATTAATTATATTTGTCTATGTAATATGCTGCATACTATTGAAATAGTACTAAATTATGTCTTAATTTATGGCATGAAATGCTATTCTAGATAACTATCTAGGAATGTAGTAATGACTTTTATAGAAAGACCTGTATGAATCTGCTGTATGCAAATAGGTTTTTATATTTAAAGGACTTTGTGTTTCCTTATTATGATAGATGCGCCAGTTTCTGCAATGTATAAATTTAACATAAGTTCATTGATTTTAATGGTAATTAATAAAAGAGTGAAGTATAAGAACATAGTTTTTGTTTTCTAATCATTTTCACTGTTTAAAAGTTAGACATGTAGCTTTGTGAAGAATCTGTTATAACCTTAACCTGTCTATATGTTTTATGCTAAAGAATGAATATTAAATAATTAAAATTACATGCAAAGCATACAGAAGTTTCTTGATATGAATTTATTCTATTTACATTGTCAAAAATGTTAAGAATAAAATTAAATTAACTTTTTATAGGTTGGGCTCATGTGGTTTGTGCTCTGTACATTCCCGAGGTGCAGTTTGCAAATGTTTCTACAATGGAACCTATCGTCTTGCAGTCTGTTCCTCATGATCGTTATAATAAGGTATAATTAAATTATGACTTTCTTTCTTTATATAACATTGTTATTTGAAAGATTTAAAATATTTTAGAATTTATAAAAATAGTTCTGTGAACTCTTGCACTTTGCTTTTTTACTGAAAGGTAAATTAAAAAATTCTTCTGTAATAATACCAAATTATAATTTGTAGCATGAAGTGATTTTTGTTTAGTTAATATTTCAGCATAACCTGAAATATTTTATTTAAATAGATTTCCAAAATAAATAAAAAATAATTCGTAATTATTTTCAGTGTTTTTAGTAAAAATTGTACTTAGCACTGTTATAAGCAAATGAAGGTTGAGAAGGTTATAAGAAATGCTAGTTGAGAGCAGAATGTCATCGTGTCATTTATATTTAATATAGTATTTAAGGTCAATGTGATATCAACAGTTCTCCTTTCTCCTAGTATTGTAACATACAGCTTTCTATTTGGTATTAGACTGACCACGCATATAGACAAATACCTAAACAAATTTAAAGTTTATTCCATTTTTTTTACTATTTACAAAAAGTAATATATAATCAGGTTTATTTTACTGGTATGTGAAGAGTTTTCAGTTGTAAAATTTTTGAAAGCTAAAATAAGGCTATGGTACCCTCTTTAGATAAGTTTTAAAATGTTATGACATATAGTTCATCAAATGATAGTGGTTGCAATTAATCATTAGGTATCATTTTTTAAACAACTGGAACAAAATATTTTTTAAAGTGTATAGGTAGTCCTTGACTTACAACTGTTCATATAACGATTGTTTGGAGTTACAACGGCGTCAGAAAGGGTGCTGAACATAGAAAGTCATTCGGATTCATTCCCAGCTGGAACCTGTCAGTAATGTTGGTTCATGTGAGATGCCCGAAGAACAGTCTTACCCAGTTATCTGAGAACAGTTCAATCCTGCTAGACCTGATGAAGTGGACAGGATCCTCAGTGCTGTCAGTGCAATCATTTGTCAATTGGATCGTCCGTCCTGATTGATGAAAGCTTTCAGGATAGTGACTACTAGGTGGGTTCAGGTAGTGATCAATTTTCACTGCTGGAAGAGAGTTTCCCAGGACTTTTTTTAAAGAGGCCCTGGTTCGCCCCCTCTTAAAAACATCCATCTCTTGATCCCACCTATCTGGACAGTTTTCATCTAGTTTCTAACCTTTCCTAGGGAAGGTAGTAGAGAAGGTGGTTGCTTGGCAGCTTCAGAGGGTCCTGGATAAAACTGATGAAACTCTTCCAGTCAAGATCTAGGCCTGTTTATGGGATAGAAACAGCACTGGTCACACTTGCTGATGTTTGGCGAGAGCGGGATTGGGGGGGGGGTGCAACCAGACTTGCTTTCAGCAGCCTTCGATACCATTAATCAGGTATCCTTTTGGGCTGTCTGTGGGGTTTGGGGCTGGACAGCACACTGTTGCATTGGTTTGGTTCCTTTCTTCAAAGCCGGTCCTAATTGCTGTTGATAAGGAGTGAGAGATCCAAAGCCACTCCTTTATGGCATGTTTCAGGGCTCAGTACTCTTTCCACTCTTTTTTAACGTTTCATAAAGTCGCTGGATGAGATCATTTGTCACCATGGATTGAAGTATCATCAATGTGCAGATGATAGCCAGCTCTATATTTCCACCCATGGTGTCTCAAGTGATGATGTTACTGTCCTCTTGTGTTGCCTAGAGCCTGTGAGAGTCTGGATGGGGGACAACATACTTCAACTGAGCCCTGGAAAGGCCGAATGACTTTGGGTGCCTGGAGGGTTGAGATCCAGGAATTTGACATCTCTAATTATGGATGGGTTTATACAACCCCCAAATAGACCTGGTGTGAAATTTGGGGGTTCTCCTGGACTTATGATTCCTGTTGTAAGAGCAGGCAGAAGTCATGGCTAGGAGAGCATTTGCACAACTCTGTGTTGTGCACCAGTTACAACCTTTTTTGGATTTGGGGTACTTGTGCTCAGTTATTCAACCCTTGGTCATTTCATGCCTAGACTATTGCAATTTGCTCTATATGGGTCTTGAAGTGTATTTGGAAGCTACAACTGATGTATAATGTGGTGGCATGGGCTGTTCTTGGGGTTCCTAGGGTGGCTCATGTTACACTGTTCAGCTACATTAGTTGCTGGCTTGCTTCCAGTGTAATTAAAGGTATTGGTTATCACCTTGAAAACCCTTCATGGCATGGGTCCAGGCTATCTGAAGAATCATCTCACCACAATAGGATTGGCCCACCCCTACCATGCCAGCAGAGGGAGCATGTTGCGGACCCCATCAGTCAAGGAATGTCTACTGATGGGGTCCAGGAGCATATGGACAGACTTAACTATAGTTTCATGGGGAAACCATGACCATCCTAAACTAAGCCAAGTCCAAAAATGCTATCAATATCAATATCAAATCAATATTAATATCAAATCAATAGACACATAGACCTAAACAACAACATACTGTGCAAAAGAGATAATCAATAAGCCAGAAAGAGAACAAAAAGACCAAAATACTTCCCCACCAGCATTCATCACCCAGATTAACACCGATTAACATCAGATTGACAGTAAAGAAGTAAACAATACCCTAGTCAAGAAGTTGCCAAACAAGTTAACAGTAAACAGGTCAACCACGAAGATCTCTCCCATCCATTGACAGGGCATGCCACTAGAATATGAATTGAAGCAATCCTACTCCATATTAACTAACACTGATGATGTTATTTAATTTGAGTAATGAAACATCTGCAAAAAACAACCAAGCTCAGAGAGCACCAAGGACCCCTCATTCCAACCCTGAGCTACAAATATTCTCCTTTATCAACTATTCCAGATTCTGTGCTCTAAAATAAGAAAGTTCTTCTATATGATTTTTATTTGATATTTGAAAAATATTTAACATACTCCTCTCCCTCAATCTTTCTTCATAGGATTTAGTTTCTGGTTCTTGGATTGTTCTTATTGAGAAAAGAAAAAGAAATAATACTTTGTTGTCCAAGCGTGATTGCACAGACAAGGAATTTATCTCTCTGGTGCATAAACTCTCAAGTGTACATTCAAACACTAAAGTAATACAATCATAAGATACTAATAGGAAAAGGTAGTAGACAAGCTGAGAAGGGTAATATAGCCCTAATATGTGGGTAAATGTCCTTAGACAAAAGACAGTCCTGTGGAAATTAGGTGTTCAGCAGAGTGATGACACAAGGGAAAAAAACTGTATGTGTATGTTTTGGCATGCAGTGTCCTTTAGCAGTATCCTGAGGGGAAGAGTTGAAACAGTTTATGTCCAGGATGTGGTGATGGTAGGTTTCTGATCTGTGCAATATCCAGGTCCTCAATGGAAGGCAGGTTGATTGCAGTTGTTTTTCTGCAGTCCTAACTATCTTTTGAAATCTACACCTGTCCTGTCTGGTTGCTGTATTGACCAGACAATTATAGAAGTACAAATGACAAACTCAATAGTTCCTCTGTAGAACTGTATCAACAGATCCTGTGGCAGACTGAACTTTCTAAGACACGTTATTTGGGCTGTTTTAATTTCTCTGATTCTTCTTAAAATGGTGTGCTCTGAACTACACACAGTACTTGAAGTGGAACCTAAACAAGTAGAATAGAATAGAATTATTATTTCTTGTCATTTGGAAATTATATTTATACTAATGTAGCCTAAAGTTGCATTATCTTTTTGCAGCTATATTCCACTGCTGCCTCATATTAAATTTATAGTCAACTGTTTGGAATGCTATGACCAACCCATATATCCTCCATGCTATTTGGTAGCTGAATTTGTAGTTGTTTGCTAATTGAAGATTTTTTTTCCATTTTTATGTTAATTTAATACTGTTACTTCCAGCTTATTTGACTAATTTTTAACATTGTGTCTTTTAATATTGTTTTTTGTTTGTATGACAAGTTATGCAAACCAATCTTGTGTCATCTATATGCAGTGTTTGATAAGAATTCTGTTCATTTAAACAAAAGTGTTCCTTGTATCACTTGTGTTTCTTACTGCTGTCCAGTTTTGATCATAATACATTAACGACTTCTGTCGGGGTACAGAAAGACTTGAAGAATTGGGAAAAGCTGCAATTATCCCTCATGGGAAGAATTGCAGTGATAAAAATGAATATTCTACCCAAGTTTCTTTTTTTGTTTCAAATGTTACCAATTTTGAAAAATGAGATTAATTTAAATGAGTGGCAGAAGGGTCTCAATAAATTTATTTGGGCAGGGAAAAAACCAAGGGTTAAGTTCAAAATTATGCAAGACTTCCGTGAGAGGGGCGGACTCAAGGTACCAAATTTGAAATTATATTATGATGCGGTGGTTTTAACATTAATTAGTGACTGGGTAAATTTGACAAATTCTGAGATACTTTATCTAGAGGGATGGGATTTACTTTATGGGTGGCATGCCTATTTAATATTTAATAAAAAAATAGATTGGGCTTTTAAATCTCATATTTTAAGAATTTCTTTACTTAGGATTTGGAGAAAATATTATAAAAGTGATTTTAAAGTACCATTATGGGCTATACCTTGGCATGCGATAGAAGGAATAAAAAGAGGGGTTAAAATGGATATGGTGTCTTACAGACAGTTACTTAAATGGGATGGACAAAACTGGCAATTAAAATCACGGGAAGAATTAGCACAAGAAAATTTTACTTATTCTTGGTTCCAATATAGGCAACTACTAGATAGATGGAAGATGGATTGTAAGGTGGGTTTTCTTAGAGAAGATGAAAATCTTATTAAGCAACTGAAGGATCAAAGACAAACCCACATTAAGAGAATTTATGGGGTTTTAGTTGAATTGGACTCAGAAACGGAACTAATTAAAGATTGTATGATTAGATGGGCGCAGAACTTTGGTGAGCCAGTTTCATTGGACACCTGGGAAACTATTTGGGTGAGAAATGTCAAATTTACTCAAGCACAGAATCTAAGGGAGAATTTTTATAAAATGTTTTATAGATGGCACCTTGATCCACAAAAAATGTCTTACATGT